CCTGATATTATTCTAAATTGATTTATGTAAAAAAATTACTTTTGAAAAAATTGTCAATTTGGTCCCTTTTCCCAGCTCCTAGCCCATATTATGGTGCGAACGGTCTAGTCGCATCAAGTATTATAAACTTTAAAATTGCAAAACTTTTTATTGACTTAAAATAGCTGATAGGTTACTTAATAATAAAATTTTATTTTTTTGGTTAAACCGTTATCTCGTCCAATCAGAATGTGAGTCACCATTGATGCGCAGTGTCACGTGTAAACTAAAAATTTTATTAGTGTCGGCGATTCACGAAATTTGTTTTTGACCAAGCTTATGATGTCCCAAAGAAGCTCGCAAGCCTCACAAATAATCGCAACAAATACTCTAATCATTACTAATGTTAATCAGGCTACGTTTCTACCTGAAAATCTTGAAAAATTAAAAGGTCAATTGGAACAGTATGGTACTATTTACAAATTCGTTCCAACAAAGTCCTTTAATCGTACTTTTGTTACTTTCTATAAAACTACCGATGCAAAAAATGCCAAAGATCATTTTGATAAGTCAATGTTTTTAGAAAAAACCATTCGTGTATACTTTGGGCAGGTAATAATAAAAAATGTCACGTAATAAAACATTTTTTCGTAAATACTTCAAATCATATTTACAAATTTATTCTTTCTTTTGGCTCTGTAATTCGGATAATATATGTAGCATATCTCAATATATGAAACGGACAACGCACGGCATCTGAACGTTCCAGAACTCGAAAAAAATTTACTCATTTCGCCACCAGGATCACCACCAGTTGGCTGGATCCAAAGTCGAGAAGACCATCCAAATTCTATTACCCTTTCTGATGACCTTGTACATGCATTTGCGAAATTTTATCCAGATCCTAATAATAATATAGATGATATTGCCAGTGGAAATGATGATTTTGAAGAATTCACATTAGATGATAAGATCGAGCCAGAAGACGGAGACATACAAACTCGTTCACCAATATTGACTGTTATACCCAGTGATGTCGATGTAGATTATAATACTAACCATGAAAGTAATCCTGATGTTCCTCTTATTCTTATTCAAAACTGGGATGATTCTCCACCTCCTAGTACAAAAACAAAAAAACCTAATCTTCAAGTTTATAATAATGGTAAAGCCCAACTTCGTCCAAATGTTTCCATTCATTCGCTCACACCGACTCCTAGACCTCCGCTTTTTTCGACGCATATTTAGCAAATAACAGATTAAAAAGAATCGGATAAATAATCTAGTAATATATTTGTAAAAAGACGCGTACAAAATTCCTGCATCAATTAAACTATTTTTTATTAATCATACTATAGAACATGCAAAATCGAAATTTAGCTTTTATGTTTCGAGTTGCTGTTATAAAGCACATTCCTTATCTAAATTATACACTGTAGTTAAGATAGATTATTTTGGATAAATTCCTCTTAAAATGGCAAATTTTTCATAGCATTATAGTCTCATCCATTTAAATAAAATCGATGTCATCAACTTAAAAAGTAGATGGACTTCATTATTTATGATTGAATTGAATTATGATTGTTAAATAGAAATCTCTCAAAGAATTTGATTAAAATGTCTTTTTTATTTTAATTGGCACTATTTTTAATATAACTAAAAAGATTACATAAATTACAGTAAAAAGCTTTTAAAGAGTCTCCCTACTGTAATCAGTAATTTACTAATCTCTATTCTTCCATCATTTTTATGTTTTCATCATCCTCTCTCACATCATCTACATCTTCTTCATTCGTATCAAATATAATAAAATTTTTCTTATCATTACTAAGAGCACCAATTAACCCTCTTGCCCCGTTTGTAGTTAATTGTAATGGTTTAAAATGAGTGAGATCACGGAATCGTTGAGCTAAAAGTGGTGTAAAATTTCCATCGCTCTTTCAGAATATGTTGGGAAGATATTATAAAAAGTATTAATTCCAAAATTTGAAAACATTCACTCTTAATAAATATTTGAGATATGTTATTTTACCATTCGGTCCCACACTTGGTTAATGACATTCGGCAACTTGAATTCATTTGTAGATTGTAAGTCATATGGCTCTGGGATTGATATGAAGTTTAACTCTGTATATTTTACTTCTGTCAAGAAAATTGGCTCATCTTCAAGTTGCGTGGAGAATTATTATATAAGACATGAAATGATTTATAAAATAAACCAACGTATAAGATTGTTAGCTACCGTTTTCTGATCCAATTACAATCATGTATAATCTTTCATCATCATAAAGGTTTAAATCGGTAATCGACAAGTATTCTTCAGGATGTTCATTATTCACTAACTGGATACAGGCAATCTCACCATTTTTATTTCTAAAGGAGTTATCAGTAAATTTTGAAGGTGGTGTATGACTTTTGAAAGTATTCGCGTACAAAGGAAATCGGAGGACCCACACTTAGATTTTCAATGCCATTAATTAATTTATCATTCTGTAAGTATATGATAAGATCGAAAACCATCAAGCTTACATGTTGGAGAAACATTACGATCTTGTGATAAATAAAAGATTACATATGCGTTTGTCCCCGAATCCTACAAATATAATTATCATGAAATGTCAAAACCTTTAAAGTCCAGAACAAATGTCAGGTATTCATACCTCAGCTACAATTCTCATATCTGCCAAAAATACGTTATCAATACAACAATTAGTGCCCTCGACTATGTCCATGAGTTCATGTGCCTTAACAGATTTTGCAACATTATCAGCTGTTGCAGAAGATAAGGTATCACATCGGTTAATCAATTCGTTAACAAAAGATTCAAAACTTGGTGCGTGTTGAAATGCACTGTTAGAAGAAAGATAATCATATGGATATGCTGACAACCCGTTACTTTGTGATGAGTTATATTGAAAAAGGTTACAATTATCTAAAGAGTTATATGATGAAAACGGAAATTCAAATGTAGGTAGTGATATTGTTGAAGATTGTCGGTCATCCACGAAAAACTTTTCCAAATTATTTAAGAAATCTTTGCCAAGTGAATTTTTTATATATGAGGAGACTTTGTGAACATCCACTCGAGGTGAAGCTTCAGGATTAGTGTTTTGTTCAAGAGATGTCATATTATCAAATTCTAAAACATATTTATGAAGACATCATTTACATGAATACTTTATCATTTGATCATATAAAATACTTTAAATGAACCTTACCAAATTGAAGCCATTGATGAAACTCTAGAAAATTTATGTATTCCTCATCGATGACCGAATTTAATTTCTCCAAACGCGAAATTATACATCCAGCTAAGATTACACAAGAATGAATAAATGATTCATCGAGTCCGAGCTTTTGAAACTTTTGAGGCCTAAAATTGAAGTGATATATCAGGAAAGAATCTAAAACATGAATCATTCCGAAGTTTTAATAAAAAACAAAAAAAAGTTATACCATTTACTACATCCAACTAATGCATTCAACTCTATCATTAGTCTTTCACACCCTATACGCACATAATGATTTATATATTCTCTAATTTGATCAAATGTTTTCTGACCCTTGCTTTCCCAATCTTTCAACGCCTAAGTGTTTAAAAACAATAATAAAAAAAAATAT